CGGCCGGAGCTGTGGTATCGCACCAAGGTCATACGCCGGGGCAAGGCGGATTATACAGGGCAGCTGTCGTACGCAACAGCCCACAAGTGGGCTCTGGACTGTTACGGCATGTGCGGCATCCACAGGAGCAAGGCCACCCACGCACCGAGGGTGGCCGCAGCGCAAAATGCTGACATGGCAGGGGTGTCGGACGCGCAAGTAAGTAGGCCGAGTTAGGGCATCCATACAGACGAGCTCCGGAGCTCGAGCTCAGCAGAAGCAAAAGAAACATAAAAAAGTATGCCTCAAAGGTAAAAGCCAAAAAAAAAAAAAAGAAAAAGGATCGACCGGGCAGAGGCTCGAACTCTGAACCTTTACCAGTGGTGTTTAACCGGAAAGTAACGCGCTACCATTGCGCCACCCAGCCTTTTGTTTGTTGAAAGAGGGATTGGATAATCGATATCAAGAGCTCTGGACCAGTGGGGCATGCACCTAGCATTAGCTCAGCAGTTCGAATGACCTCACTGGCTCGTTCCCAGCCCCCTCATTTCTAGTCCGAAATGGGTGCACCCAGCGCCAATCACCCGCTCCAAGCAGAGGGAGCTCCCCATTCCTGCAATGCGCTGGCAGCGGGAAGCTCCCCCAGCTCCCCCCCATTTCCCCCCAGAGCCGCCCCGGACCCAAACAACGCAGCACCCTCGCCCAGACAAAACATAAACAACGCACTGATCACCCTCTGCAACCAGCACCCGCCAGCTCCCGCTCCCCCCTCCCCCTCCACACTCACCCACAACCCAACCCACCACACAACCCCAGCAAGCTCGCATCATAGCTTTTCGCTACATCTGCTCCAAAACAACATCCCAACCTGTGTCTTTACACGTCGCAACTCACAACGCTGCCGCCTCACAGCTCCACACCTTGCATCTAGAGTCGCCTTGTTTGCGCGACCACGAGCATACCCGTCTCGTCTCATTCTTGTTTATTGATCCGCGCACGATGGCGAGCGGAAACAGTTGGCTGGCCCGCCAGCGCAAATCCGACCTGGTCGAGCTGGCCGAGGGCGTCGGGCTCAAAAAGTATGTTTGTCTCTAGTTGTTTCTGGAAATCAAGATGGTTCATTATCTGTATCTCTTGGTTTCCTTTTGCTTTCCCTGGCGCATGTGGTTTGCGCCGCGCTGCGCAGGCAGCCTGCCGCGCGTGGCTGCATCAACACCAAGGCCCCCCATCACCACTCCCCGCACCCAGACGCGTCGCATCCCCCACCACAACCCCCCGATGCCCTCCCCGCGCACATACTGACGCGTCCTTTCCCCACACGCTAGCTATGAGGGCATGCGCAAGAGCGAGCTGGAACTCGCCCTCGACGAGCACCTCTCGGACAATGCGCCGCGCTACCAGGCCGACCCGCGCTTCCAGGACTACTTCAAGAGCCGCGCCCGCGCCGGCGGCTCGCCTGTGAAGAAGGAGTCTGCTACCGCCGCTGCTGCTCAAGTCACTGAAGTGAAGGTCTCGCGCCGCCGGACCATCAAGCCCGTTGAGGAGCCTGTCGCTGCCGCCGAGTAAGTTTCTCTTTCTCTCCCTCCCTCCCCAGGCGCGCGTGCGCAACGCGTCGTTGCCCATCCGGCCGGTGATCTTCCGTCGCCGGATAAAATAAACAAACCCCCAAACCCACCCAACTAACCCCCCCTCCAGCGACGAACCCGAAGAAGACTCCGAACCCCCCGCGGACGAACCCCCCACCACCACCTCGACCGCCACCGCCCTGGCTCGCACCCCCGCGCGCGCCCTCGCCCTGGCCTCGCGCCTGCAACTCCCGGCCACACCCGCCGACGTGGCCCAAGCCGTCGAGTCCGGCACCGTTGCCGTGCGCGCGCGCGTCGCCACCCTTTACGCCGACTCGGGCCTGACCGAAGCCACCCAGACGACCCGCGACTGGCTGTCGACGGTGCACAGCATCGTGTCGGCCATCGCGCTGTTCGAGCTGTACCGCCTGCGGCGCGAGGTGCTGCCCGACCGGTACGCGTTCACCATCCCGGCTGTTCCCGCGGTGGGCGTGAAGGAGGAGTGGAGGGTGTTTTTGCCGGATATGTTTGCGCTGGTGACGGCTGGGTTTTGGGGGCCGACGCTGACGTGGTTGGCTACGAGTGTCGTGGTGCCGGGGGTGTTCGGGTATTTCTTTAATTTGGGGGCTGCGCATCGCACGGGAGGCAGGGGGAGGAAGGCGAGCCAGGCGCAGGAGTATGCGGTGGACCCGCTGACGTTTAGCGTGGTGAAGGCGGTGCTCACGTATGTGGTGTACGCGCAGGGGGTGACGTTTGGGGGGTTGGTGAATCCCGAGAGCGTGGGCAGGATCAATGGCGCGCTGTATAGCGGCTGGCAGGGCGTGTTGGTGGGTACGGCGGTGTCGACGCTCGCGTCGGTGTATGATGCCGTGTTGAGCAAGTAGGGGGTTGTAAAGGAGGGGACTGGGGAGGTTGGAAGGGGTGCGGGGGGGTTGGTGATGATGGTGTGATGGGTGGCGGGCTGGGGGGTGGGTTTGGAGAGGGCGTTTAGGGCGTTGGGATGTTTCGCCTTCCCGTGTTGGTTTTCTTGTTTCTTTTCCTTTTTCTTCCCTTCTCCGTCCTTTTCTTTTCTCTTTTACTACCTGTCCTTCTCTCGGGCGTCATGGAATTCTGGATTCTCGAATTACCTGATACCACCATCTTTACCTAGTCCGGTTCCCCTCCCCCCGTCGTCGCTTCTGCACCCGCCACTGAATTTGTTTCGGCGGCAGGGGTAGCCATGATGGAGGGGGGAGAATATTGTGTGTATATGTTGTAACTGGGTTCCCTTTTTTTCTTCCTCTTTTCTGCTTGGCTGTTTCTTTGGTTTGGGTTCTGCTGATGAGATGTGGAATGGGCGGGTTGGCGGTGAGATTGAGTCAATGTCGGAATCGAGACGTAGGAAATACAGCTGTTTGTTTTTGTTTGCCTGCTTGACTCCACAATATCTTGAGGGTGATTGTTGTATATGAGTTAATGGGAGCTAGGGGGCGTGTTGTTGGCTATCTCAACATCTGTTAGGTACTCGACGGATATCAACGGATAAGATACGGCACCCCTTGCTTGTCCATGGCGGGGTCACACCCACCCTCACAACCCAGCTCACCCCAGGTCAACCCCAAGCAACTCCAAACATCGACCACACAAGCTCTCACTCACATCACCGCTTGTCATCAACCTTCTCCACCGCACATCACAACCAACCTCACACATCTAGGCCATTCCTTCTCACCACTCCCAAAACCACAACCCCACCCTCACCATGTCCTCCTCCGACACCCCCGCCCCCACCGAAGGCCTCACCCCCTCCCAACTCGCCTCCTTCGCCCGCGACGGCTACCTCATCATCCCCTCCGCCCTGCCCCACTCCACCGTATCCTCTCTCCTGTCCGAAGCCCACCGCCTCCTCTCCACCCTCGACCTCTCCACCCACCCCCTCACGCGCTTCCTCACGGGCGGCGATACCGGCGACAACCACGTCGGCGACGCCTACTTCTTGTCCTCCGGCAACAAGATCCACTTCTTCCTCGAAGATGACGCCTTCGACCCCACCACGGGGCAGCTCACCAAGCCGCCGCACCGCGCGGTCAACAAGATCGGGCATTACCTCCACGCTCTCTCCCCACCCTTCGCCTCTTTGCTCGACCCGACCAAAAACGATGGAATGCTTGCCCGCCCCGCGGCCGTCGCCCGCTCCCTGGGCTTTCAAGACCCCCGCGTGCTGCAGAGCATGGTGATCTGCAAGCAGCCCGAGATAGGCGGGGCGGTCCCTCCACACCAGGACTCGACGTTTCTGTACACGGACCCGCCGAGCGCGGTGGGGTTCTGGTACGCGCTGGAGGACGCGACGGTTGAGAATGGGTGTTTGTCTTTCCTGCCCGGGTCGCATAAATGGGCCGGGGTGGAGAGGAGGTTGGTGAGGAAGGGCGGGGAGGGGGAGGGGACGGAGATGGTGGGGAATGAGGGGAGCAGGTTTCCTAAGGGGATGAGGGAGGAGAGGGAGGAGAGGGCGGAGGGGGAGGGGGAGTATGTCCTTGGGGAGGTGAAAGCGGGGTCGTTGGTGTTGATACATGGGAATTTGCTGCACAAGAGTGAGCAGAATTTGAGTTCGAAGGGGCGGATTATTTATACGTTCCATGTGATTGAAGGGGCGGAGGGGTGGGAGTATGATGGGCGGAACTGGCTGCAGCCGCCGGAGGAGGGTTTCACAAAGCTGTATGCTTGAGGGGACGGCGAGGGTGATTGAGTGCTATAGCATCAGGCAGTGCCTGATGGAACGGCGAGGGTGATTTAAGTGTAGTGGCATTAAGGCAGCAGCAGCAGCTATACTGTACATACATAAAAGTTGAGGCTAGAGAATACCCCCTGGTTGCTATCACCTCACCCTGTTTCTTCTTGTCGCTCTCGGGAGACTCGAACTAAAGCCGTGGCCATGTTGAACACCACCCTCGGCTCCCCAAGTCCCCCCACATGAACCACCCCAACAAACCAAAGCCAAATTAAGAAAGTAAAAAAGTCACAACGAAACCCAAAGACCGACCAACCCCCCCTCCCCCCTGACCACATCCCTACCCCCACTTTTGCTTCTTCCACCACTTCCCCCACAGGCCCCTCTAGCTCCTCGCGTACGGATGGAAACCCCTATTCCCGCCGCGGCCACCACCGCGGTAATTCGCGCCCGGCCGGCCCGCATTCTTGGGTCCCGTCGGCGCGTTCGCCGGCGGGGCATTCATCGGGTCCACCGGCCCCTGTTGCTGGTGATGTCCGCCACCACCACCACCCCTCTTGCCCCCGTGGAAGCCTCCGCCCCGCCCACCACCACCACCACCGCCAAAGTTCCCACCACCGCCGCCGCCCTGCGCCATCATCGGCTGGGGGACGTCATCATACATGCCCTCCCAGCTCGTGGGGCCGCCGCCCTGTCCACCGCCGCCGCCCATGTAGCCGCCGCCCTGGTTGTACCCGCCCTGGTGGTGCATGTCGCCGCCACCACCGCCACCACCACCTCCACCCCCGCGACCGCCGCGGCGGCCCTGGCCCTGGCCCTGTCCGCCCTGGTGCTCGTACTTTTGCTGCTGGTCGAACTGGCCCTGCTGGTCAAAGGCGTTGTTGAAGCCGCCGCGGTTGGGGCCGCCTTGGTTGCCGCCGCCGCCTCCGCCGTGGTTGCCGCCGGCCGGACTCATGCCGCCCTGGTTGGCGCCGCCGGGTCCGCCGGGTCCGCCGGGTACGCCGCCGCCCTGCTGGTTCATCATCTGCTGCATCTGCTGCATCATGGCCGGGTTCATGGCCGCCATGGCGGGGTTCGCGCCGCCGCGCCCGCCGCCGCCCTGCTGCGCGGCCATCTGCGCCTGCATCTGTTGCATCTGCTGCATCTGCTGCATGT